CGCGCGGCGAGCGCGGCGAGGACGCGCCGCGGGCGCGAGGCGCCGTTGCACGGCTCGTCCGTGACGTAGTCATAGCCGCGCTTGTTCGTGCAGCAGTAGCTCTTCATCTTGACGCCTGCGGGCGCGCGTGCGCGCGCGCGCGGGCCCGCGCGTCGGCGCCGCGGCGCGCCGCCGAACGTCGTCTCCCAGCCGTCCGCCAATTTTTCGTACGTGCTCTCGTCGACGTCGGCGTCGCCTGGGGGGCGGGGCGTCGCGGACGCGCCGGCGCCGACGCCCGCGAGGGGGGCGTTCCGAACGCCGCGGGCCCCGGCCGACCGCCGGACGAGCGATCGCGCGCGGACGCGTCCCGTCCCCGCCCGACGACGGACCGGGCTTCGTCGCGGCGCCGGCGCGCGCTCGCGCCCGGAAAGCACTGCGAGATATTGGCGCAGCCGCGGATCATCACCTGGGCGGGACGGGCGTGACCACCGTTCGGAGGCTCGGTCCGCTCGACGCGGTGGGAATCGTCTCCTTCGAGTCGCGCGCCGCTCGATGTTTAGGGATCATCTCCTTCGTGTCGCGCGCCGCATGATATTTTGGGATCGTCTCCTTCGTGTCGCGCGCCGCTCGATGTTTAGGGATATTCTCTCGAAGCGGGGGCCGCTCGACGTTTAGGGATATTCTCTCGAAGCGGGGGCCGCGTCGGAGCGGGGAGTACGACGCCGGGCCGCGACGTTCGCCCGCTTCCAATTTGCCCCATGCGAATCCATGTCGTCCGAGAATTCCTGGCCGACCTCGGTCTTGGCGCAGTACCAGGGGCCCTGGCACCGCCAGTGGTCCTTCTTGTCGGTGGCTTGTAGGCACTGCGCGCGGGCGGCGCGGCGTCCGCGCGGGGGGCGCGAGGGGGCCCGCGACGCGGCCCGCGCGCCTCGCGGTCGCAGAAGACCGTCGACTGGGAGTAGAGCTGCGCGGGGGCGGGGGGGGGGGGTTCCCGCGGGGCCGCGCGGGCGCGGCGCGCCTCGTTGCCCGTGTAGCACTCGGTCGTGTCCTTCTTTTGCCAACCCTGAGTTCTGTCGCGGACGCTTTCGTACTGATCGGTGCCGAGGCCCCAGGCGATATTACCGCCAAGAGGAAACCGTTCTGTATCGGCGGCGGCCACCAAAGCCACGCCGGCACACAGCAGCGCGACGACGAGAGTTTCCATGACATGGACCATGCTCGGTCGCTGTCCACAAATTTTGCGAGGGCTTGGGAGCCACAAGTCACGGCCCGGCGCCAACAGCACACATGGACGCAGAGGTTGTGGTCGTCGACGTGGCCGGGCCTGAAGCCCCGTCGCCTGGCGAGGCGGCCGGGGCCCGGGCGGAGCCGTCGGAGGGCGCGCAGCTCTTCGGGGCGAGCGACGCCGGAGAGAAGACGTACACGGTCGTGTGCCCGGCGGGAGCGGCGCCCGGCGACCAGCTCCAGATCGACATCGAAGACGAGACGCTCCTCGCGCGCGTGCCCGAGGGCGTCGGCCCCGGCGAGACCTTCCCCGTGACCGCGCCGCGCGCCGGCGCCGCGCCGCCGCCGGCGGCGACGCCCGTCGCGATGCCGCCGCCGACCGTCGCGACGCGCGCGCCGGCGTCGCGCCGCCCCGCCTCGGCGAGCCGGCGAGCGCTCGCCGACCGTCGCGACGCCGCGCAGGCCCGTGCGGAGCGACGAGGACTACGCGCGCGAGCTCCAGCGGCGCGAGCTCGGCCTCCTCTTCCCCCCCGCCGCGGGCCGGCCCCGCGCCGCGAGCGTCGAGCTCGGCGGCGGCGACGCGCGCGGCGCCCGCGCCCCCACGCGGTCTCCGGCGGCGCCCCCGCCGACGACGGGGCCCGCAGGTACGCGCTCTCCGACGACGAGCAGCTCGTCGTCAACTACCGCCACAGCATCAAGCGCTTCGCCGCGCCGATTCCACACCTTCAACCCGACCATTTCGACGCGAGCTCTGCCGTCAGCCGAATCGACTTCGATGCGACCGAGCTCGAGAGACCCCCCGAATCAGCGGTTGATTTCCACACAGGTGCTTCGCGCTCGTCCACGGCTTCCTGGCCATGCTCAACGCGCTCGCGGGTCGCTGGGGCCTCCTCGGCCTCGCGCTCCTCGCGGGGCCCGTCGCGGGCTACGTCGGCGCGCACCGCCTCGACGCGCGCCTCGTCGCCGTCTACGCCGCCTTCTGCGCCCGCCGGGGTCCGGCCCGCCGGGGTCGCGCGCGCGCGACCCGCGTCCGCCGCAGGCGTCCTCAGCGTGGTCTTCGAGCTCGCGCGCGGCGGCGTCCGCGAGCGCGCGCGCGACGGGCCGCGGCGGCGAAGACGCGCGAAGACGCGCCCCCCCGGAGCCCCGCGCCGGGCGCGCGACCCGCGCGGCCCGCGCAGGCGCTCTTCCTGCTCTACATGAGCTTCTGGATCTTCATGTTCTTCGTCATCAAGATGTGGATCACGCAGATCGTCTTCAAATTCTGGCGGGTCTTGAGCCGCCTCTCCGCGGACCGCGCGCGCACGCTCTCGCGGCCGTTGACGGTGCACAATCGCCGCGCAGTCATGGTGTACTACTAGCTAAGCCGCGCGTCAGACAACCGGCTGAGCGCCATCTGTGGCAGGCCGCACGCACGAGGACGTGGTCAAAGGGCACGAGCGGCGGCGGGTCGTTGCTGCGCGCGAGGTCGTCGTCGTAGATTTGGTTCGCCGCCATCGCGCCGTCGTGCGCCGCGCGGCGAGCCTGGACGAATGTGAGCCATTGGTCTTGACGAGCTTCGCGCGCGCGTCGCGCGCCGTCGCCGCGTCGCCCGCCGCCGCCGCGGCGTCGCGCGCGTTGCCGAGCGCCAGCGCCGCGCCCGCGGCGTCGTACTTGGCCGACAGGCAGTCGCCGAGGTGGAGCCAGGACCGCGCCTCGCCCGGGTCCCGCCTCACGGCGCCTAAGAAGGCCTCGGCGGCCGCGGCGACGTCGCCGAGGGCGTGGTGCGCCCAGCCGAGGTAGTGCGGCCAGGCTCGGCCTCACCCCGTCTTCGCCGCTCGATGCCAGCGCCGCCTCGGCGAGCCGCGCCACGCGCCGCGCCTCGCCGCGGCCATGCGCCGCGACGATCTCCTCGCGCGGGCCGCACCAGGCCATCGAGTGCAACAGTTACAGCATCATGGTAGCATGCCGCACCATCGCGCGGGCAGCTGTGGGTCGCGTAACCCTTTGTCCGAAAAAATCGATGATGAACGCTGAAGAGATATTGAATGTCCAACATCTTGCTTCCTTCGTTATTGCCGTCGCAGCGCGATTAGGTCTTGCGGGATGGGCGCGTCTAAAGCAGCCCTGTTCGGGGTTTGGAGGTCGGTCCCACCTCGTGAGACCACGACCGTCGCCTGCGCACACATGTCGAATGTGTGAGTGTTGCGCTCTCACGAGGTGGGACCAACATCGTCACGTCGCGCGGGGGCAGCCTCGCCCCTCGGGCCACCTGATCCGGCGCCGGTGGGTCGCGAGGTCGGTCCCACCTCGTGGGACTGTCACGGAACCGTCCTCCATCGGGCGAGGGATGAGTCCGCGGCGGCGTTCTTCCCCACGGGGTGTTGTCGCTGCGCATGGGTGACGCCAGTCGACGGGATGCGCCGCGGCGTCCGAGCCCGACCAGGAGAGTTCGACGATGTCGAAGCTCTGCAACAAGCCCTTGCGACCGGACGCAACGGGGCTGTTGATGAACGATTCCCGACGCTGCGAGGGCTCTGAAACTAGCTTTATGGGGTCGCGAGGGGGCTGCGCGTCGCTTCCGAGCCATTGATCCCCCCCGTTTGAGTCGCCTCGCAATCGCCCGGACGTCGCGTTTTCACCGGTGCGTCCGCGTGATGCATGCGGAGCATAAAGCCAATGGCATGGTAGCTGCTACTGTGGAAGGGGCTGCGCTCTGGCACGATCTCCGCTGAAAACTCGTCCATGCTCTTCGAGCTTCGACGCCTTTTATCCACCGTCCGATCCGATATCTTGTCGTCCGAACGAGCGCAAACTACCTTACATTTATTTCTACTTATCAACATGTCGACGTTGCTTCACGTTGCGCGACCCACAGCAGCCCACGGTGAGCGCCCTCGTATCGATACAGTACTGGTCTTTGCAGAAACGTTGTCCGCAACAAAAAACGAAGTTAACTTATCCAGCGTCTCATCCAGTGAGTGGTTGCGAAGCAGCGAGTGATGCAGCGACAATTTTGGCCATTTGCAGCAGGTGCACCGCGCGCAGCAGAGGGAGCAGCGAGTCGCGCAGCATGTCGCGCAGCGTGTGGGAAGACCGATCTTAGCCCATGCGAGCCCCGAGACAGCGCGGAGTGGTTTTTCGACACCCCTGACCCCGACTTCCCATAGCGAAGTACTCTCCGTTGTGCCCATCGTGGGCCAGATCATGCCGAACGGGCTGCCCGATAATCGACGCGTCCATCGACTTGCTGCAATATTTATCGACTTGCTGCGGGGATTCCGTCTTCAGCTTCACTTGTTGCGGACAACGTTTCTGCAAAGACCAGTATTGCGCTACCTCGGCATCGCCGTCGTGTTGAAGAGGCTCGACGCCGTCGACGCAAGCTCTGCGAGAGCATGCACCTCGGCTTGTCGGGGCGTGGCTACGGCGACGGACGGCTCGTGGGCGCGGCGGTTCCATGACTTCATATGGCGACCGCATATTCGAGTTTCTGAAGGACACACGGCACTACCGCGCACGGCTCGAGCGCCTCGAGGCGGGCGGCGAGGACGACGGGCCGCCGCTGCCGCCCGTCTTCCCGCTTTGCGACCCCCGTCAGCTGAGACACAGTTGGCAGTACCTGACATCGGCTGAGATCGACGCTGCTGGCCTCAGCCGCTGTTCACTCTACCGGGCACCCAAGCCCGGCGAGGACACGACCCTCGACGACACGCTCAAGCGACGGCGCGTCGGCTACCGCGAGCACTGGCCCAAGGAGAAGGCGGCGTTCGTCGAGTTGCAGCGCCGCGCCGCCGCCGCCGCCGCCGCGTCGGCCCACGTCGAGAACGCGGTCACGCGCGCGGTAGGGCGGGACGAGGACGTGGCGGTCCAGGAGCAGCGGCGAGCCGACGCCACGGCCGCCGGCTGGGTCCTCAAGCACCCGACGGAGGTAGGCGAGAGACGGTGGACCGACGTCATGCGCGAGGAGCTGGAGGCGGCGTGCGCGCAGGACGTCGACCTCGACAAGCTGCGCATCCAATTTAGCAGCTGCCAGTGCGAGCTCGGATGGGGCGCGGCGACGATCGCGCCGTTCGCGGAGTACATGGCGGCGAAGCGCAGCGGCGACCAGGCCGCGCGCCTCGCGGCGCTGGAGAAGCTGAGGGAAATATGCGCGCTGCTGATATTCAGCTACTCGCGCGCGGACTTCATCCTCAACGTGCCCGTCGCGGGCGTCCGCGAGGCGCTCGCGTCGACGTCGACCAAATCCTGGACCAAATCAGGATGCAAGGTCATCGGCTCCGACATCTTTGGCTTCCAGGCCCGGACCGGCTCGGCCCGCGCCCACGTCTACGCGTCCGGCTGGGGCATGGACCGCAGCGACTTCGACGCGGCGTTCTACGACGACGATGGCCCCAAGGTGACGTTCCTGGGCTACGGCTCTACCAACGGAGGAATCGGGGCCCTCGGGGTCATCGGCGGCGCCATCGGCGCCTTCCTCGGCGCGCTCTTCGCGGTCATGCCCTTGTGCTTCCTCGTCTGGCTCGTGCGCGAGGTCGCTCGCCTCCTCCGCGCGGGCCACACGACGGCCGGCGTCGTCTGCGCGGCCTCCTGGACGACGTCGCGCTCGGCGTGTACGACGTCGTCCGACGCCGAGCAGGCCCTGGCCTGGCTCGCCGGCGTCGGCGTCCGGCGCGCCAGCGTCCAGCGGGCCGCGACGAGCAGTCGCGCGGCGCGGGCGGCCCTGGTCGCCGAGCGCCGCGGGCTCGCGTCGGACGGCGCGGCGCTGCTCTGCGGCGCGGGCCGCGGCGCGGCCGCGTGCAGCCGGGCCCGAAGCGTCGCGCGACGCTTCCTCGCCCGAGGAGGCGGAGCCTCGTCGGCGCTCGGCCGCGTCGTGGGCCGCGTCGCGTGCGCGCTCACGGCGAGGCGCGGCGGCGCGGCGGTCTGCGGGCTCGCGGCCGTCGCCAGCGCCACGCGGCGTTCGCCATCGACGTCGGCGCGAGCGTCATCGGCGTCGGCGCGAGCGCCATCGGCCCGGGCCTCGGCGCCGGCGTCGACGCCGCGGCGGGCGTCCGCCTCGCGGCGGGCGCGGCGGGCCTCGTGGCGAGCCTCGCGGCGGGCCTCGCGGCGCGCGCCTCGCAGCGGGCGCCAGCCCTGCGCGTCGACCTGCACTTTCCCGTGCGGCGCATGACGCGTGTCAACAAGAAGGGCGACTGGCGGAGCTGGCAGACCCTCCTCGACCCGTCGAGCCTTCTGATCAACGTCGTGGGCGACGAGGACGCGTTCATTGACGGAGTGCACACGTGGATCTACCGCTTCTTCCTCAAGCCCTCCGAGCTCGTGATCCGCGACTTCGAGGACGACGACGAGGAGACGCAGCGCACGGTCCGAGGCGGGTTCATGGATCGGACCGCGGCGTACCTGTCCGCCATCAACGCCCTGAATTCGGCGCGCGCGAGCATGGCGATGCACGCGCAGTTCCGGCTCCCCTTCGACCAGCGCAACGAGATCATGCGGGACGTCGACGCCGATGACTTCACGTGCACGGTCGATTCGTCGAGTCTCGGCTACTACGTGAAGGAGGAGCTGGTCCGGAAGGGCGTGCTCCGGGGCGACCTCGAGGCGACGGCGCGCGCGGCCGTCGACGCCGCGCTGCCCGGGCTCCTCCTGCCCCACTTCGACGCGCTCGACGCCGCCATCGAGTCCCTCCTCGACGACCCCGCGTTCCAGGGTGCCAACGCCGCGGAGCGCGCGCTCCGCGACAAGCACCTCAAGCGCCTCCGCAACCACCGTCACCTCGACGCGCGCGCGCGCCTCGCCGCCGGAGCCCTCCCCGACGAGTCCGATGAGGATGAAGCGGACGCGTAAGTGGCAGGGGCAGCGTCTTGACCGTGCGTTAATCAGCGGCCGCGCCGTGTCCAGCGTATCCCCGCCGAGGGACCCGCCCGTGGTCGAGGTCGCACTAGGATACGCGCCCCTTTACGACGGCGGCTCGGAGAGGGAGCGCCGCTGGTGCCGCTTCGCGGACGCGCGGATGGGCGGGAGGAGCTCGTCCTCCTTCCGCTTCGCCGCCGGGCCGGCGTCGGCGCCGAGGAGGGCGGCGTCGAGGGCGTCGGAGGCGACGGAGAGGCGGCGCAGCGTCGCGGCGCGGAGCTTGCGCGGCGGCGCGGCGACGCGCGGGAGCGTCCTGGGCTCCGCGGCGGCGGCGCCGTCCGGCGGCGCGAGCGGCGCGCCCGGCGCGGGGCGCCGCGGCGGCGGCGTGCGCAGGGGGCCGCCCCGGGCCGGGCTACCGGGCGCGAGCGGCGGTGGCGGGCGCGGCGCGGCGGGCGCGCGCGGCGGCCGCGCGGCGCCGTCGGCGGCGGGCGCGCACCGGAGCCGGCCGAGGAGCGCGGCGTCTAACCTGTGTGGAAATCAAATCTTCAACCCGACT